CTATTTTCGAAATTATGTATCGATAATGTGTGAAATGATTGAAATTCAGTTTGGTTACTTCTCGAATTTATGCAATTGCATTGCGAAAATTAGAAGGAAAAGAAAATTTGCAAAACATATTTGATGAAAATATAGAATTTTTGAAATCAATTATTTATCTGTTTTCTAATATTCAAATCGGACAAGAAGAAAAATTTAAACCCGTACAATGCGGTATTATAATCACTATTGCATTTTTTATAGAACTGGCAAATTATTTAATTAATGAACGAAGATATGTATTGGGAGAGATTCACTCAAGATTGTATTGAAAATTTATTTTCAAACGTATGAAAAAAATTTCCTGTGCCCAATGCACTACAATTCAAACAAAGTTAGTTTAACAGTTTTGAGCATTTCACAATATTTATAAGTTGTAAAAAACAATAATTATAAATAAGATGAAGAGGGCACCTTCCTTGCTGATTTTTTCAACAATTGTCCTAAAGCTAAGAATAATAACATATCGTATATAATTTCCGCTTACGTTGATAATATACAGATTCACATGGACAACGTTCAATTAAATATAATATATTATATGCTCGTACTGATTACATTATACATAAAATTTCTAAGTTGCTTACAATTTGTAAAAATTGTATTAATTCTACTGGATCGAAAATATATAATGCTAATATTAAATTTTTCAGATTGATATATTTAAAGTGTTTTAAATCAAACACATTATTTTTTGTTAATAAAACAACCTATAATTACTTTTACGAAATGGAAATTATTGTAAGAAGATATTTATCTTCTTACAATATCTTCGTTAAAAATAAAAATACTCATTTAATAAACTTCTTCACTGAAAAAATGGCTAACATTCGTTGCGACATGCTGGAAACTTGCTGCAATTTATTTCAAAAAATAATGAAACGTTATATCTTATTTTGCATAAAAATTGATTGTAAAAAGGCGTTTAAAAACTAAGATTTATAATAGTAAAACCATGGCAATGCATGCTACTATTAATAATATTTAATAATAATATTTAATAATAACATACATAAAGATGTTTTAATTAAAAAATGTATGTTTTTATATAAATAAATCTAAGTTTATATTAGGTGTACAACTTTGCTTCTGCCGTTTTTTTTTCCGAAATTCGAGGCTTTATTGTAAAAAACTGGTTATACATTTATGATTCAAAGTATTGTCCATCGCTGGCCACTACTTTCTCCCATCTTTCGGGTAGC